TCTGATAATGTCAAACATTATCACAAAAAAGAATAAAGCAATTTCCGTTAAAGTTGAAGGAAGTTGGTATACTTGATGAAATTTGGGTGCCAAAACTAACAAGTATCACAATTGTAGTGCTATTTTACGGCAAACATTTCTGGCTGAGCAACTTCAAAAAAATTCTAAAAGAGGCTTCGGCGCGAATGAATCTAAATTTGAGGAAAATTGCATGTCTCTCACTTTGAAACAGTCGTATTTAAAATAACTTTCACGTTTTTTTTTAAACTTCAAGTTCTTCTCAAACTTAGTCTTCTTTTCAAACTTGACGTTCTTCTCAAATTTCACATTCTTTTCAAATTTCACATTGCTCTCAAACTCTAAAATTCTGTAAAGTTTCACGTTCTCTTCACAGGCTTTTTAAACTTCGCTTTTTTCCAATTTTCCTTTCTTTTCAAAATTCAGTGCTTTTCAATTTTCATGTTTTTTTTGTGAATTCTTTCAAAAAGAAAATGTTTTCGTGTTTTCTTGGAGTTTATAGTGTTTGTTGCTGACTGCTGTTTGTTTGAGAGGCGTTCATAATTTAACCCCCTTTTGATGCTGTTTTTGTGAGAAATCTTATTAGACGACTTTAACCTCTAAAAGAGATTCATAGACATATTAGTGCCCATGGAATAAAGAGCAAATAATAACTTGAAATGAAAACATTACTGACAAGTTGTCTTTTTGCCTTATAAATCATAGCATTAGTTTAGATTATTTTACGAACCAAATATAGTAGTAGGAGGTAGTTATTTTAACCAACATTGAGACTGTCAACCAGCAAAGAGACAAAAATAGAACAAAGATAGTAAAGAAGAAGAACGTCATCGGTAAAGTATAAACCAAAAATAATAACATCTAACTCCAACACGTACGATGTACTAGAAGAAAAACCTTGAAGAGCAGTACGGCGATAATGTAATGGCAGGGGGTTCAAGAACGAGCAGTGCAAGAAACAAAAGATCGAACTCTCAAGTGAGTGCATCCACAAGTAGCTCTACAAGAAATGAAATCTTGGATAACGCTATGATGAATGAAACAATGAGCCAAAGTCAAAGAATACAAATTGAAACAACAAAGGCACAGCTTGAAGACATCACGATACAACTTCGAAGTTTCGCTCAAAATAGGAAAAAACACATAAGAAAAAAAGGGAAGGACTGGCAATGGTGATCCCGAACGTCATTTATTGGGGGGAAGTTTTGACGTGGTTCAACAGAGTGAAAGTACAAATATGAACATAGAAACTGTTGGCCAGAAAGTTTCCGGAGAAGACCAAATTGACCCGAATTTCTTAGTAAAACAATGAAAAACAATGAGAAGATTCACCAGTCAACAAACAGCAGGCAACTCAATGCACATTAGGGGATCTAATAGAAACTCTCGAGACAATAACTTAAGAGGAAGAATCAACGGGAGTACATCTAAATGCAACAGCAGAAGAACATTTTGCCAAATATTGCAGAAAACCCAAAGCAGCGAAGACGAAATTGGAGGGACAGACAGTGGGCCTACAACAGCCAATTCAGTAGCAAATACATGATTGATCAACAATATAAGGCATACGGAAGTAGATATCATTAGACCGACTATATCTCTGAAGAAAGTGAAGAAGTAGAGGAGAAAAGAGCTATCAAAACACTTTGATGAAAAAAGCCCCCAGAGAGAAAAGAAACCGGAAAAGAACAAGACATATCACACTGTTGGTAAACAAAAAAAATTCAATTTTCACGACAAAGACAACAAAAAAGGTTGGTACGATAGAAATTTAAAATTTCTAAGATTTTCAATTGACCCAGGGGCAGCAAAAACAGAGTTATCTAAACGATTCCTAACAGAAGTTGGAAAATCACTTGATCCTATTCAATGAAGGGAGTTACAGAACTGAAAACAAACAAGGACCAAAGATTGAAATTTGGCAGTGGGAATCCAAACAAAGCTCTCTGTCTTATACATGTACAGTAACTCAAAGTGGAAACTTTTTGACACTCAAATTATATGTCATAGATGATGTAATTTCCTGTCCATTTGGAATCTAAGCACTAAAAACTGGGCTCAGCGATAGAATTGTAATATTTTTTTGGAAACAAAGAATCACACTTTTCGACCTCTAGAACAGAAATTGGTCATAGTCAATGAACAATTGAAAATGACCAATCAAATTGAACTTAAAGCATCAGCATTGGAACTTTTGTTCGAAAAAATATTCTTTTCTGATAGTTTAATAAATCAAAAAGCGGACCATTAAATAATCAAGGATCTGCACATCAGGTTTGTTTATGCTTCTCACGGAATTTTTTTGATGACTCCCTAGTCAAATCTATGAAAATCTTTTAGAATCGAATGAACAAATCGAAACCATGATTCAGAAAGTCGTAAGCACAAGTAATCAATGTGCAAAGTATAATAGAACATAAAAAACTAGCAAATTCACTATCAAAGGAGAAAATACTTTAAGCAAAGCGCCGCGATATATCTGACGAAAGAAACGACCAAAAAATGAGCAAAAATTAATCATCTGACACCAGATGGATGAATTCTCAAGACTGTGTAGCATCAATCATTCCGTCTAAAAACCAAACGATTTATGGATGCGTTAATTCTATATTGGTTCACAAAAAGTGCCACCTTCCCCTCCCGGATCATTTTGGGAGAAAGTTTCCGGAGAAGACCAAATTGACCCGAATTTCTTAGTAAAACAATGAAAAACAATGAGAAGCTTCACCAGTCAACAAGCAAGCAACTCAATGCACATTAGGGGATCTAATAGAAACTCTCGAGACCATAAACGCGTCTTTAGTAGGATAATCTTATGCTACTAGAAAATTCAATTTTTGGATGCATAATCAGTAGAACATCAGGATATGCACCTTTTTAAAACAGAGTAGTAGAAAGACACGCCAGAATACTCAAAAATGTCTTGAAAAAATGAAAAATTTACAACACTTCGTTAAAATGCAGTCAATTTTTTTTTGCGATATGTCATCCTGAAAAAAAACATTCTGGACATAAAATTTTTGTCACCAGTTCAGATATTGTATGGAGTAAGCCCTGCAAACAAATTACTGAATCAAGAAAATTTTGTTTGCAGGGCTGTACACCTTGACAGGGTTGTACCATCTCCGGACATTAGTTCATGTGTCAAGGCTATTGAACGGTTCATTGCTCGTCGAGTTACACCGAGCATGATCTGGTCGAATAACGGCCAGTACTTCGTTGGCGCGGAAAAGGATTTAATTGCCTGCATCAATAGCTGGAACGGCATGGCTTCGACCTTTTTTGCACACAATGATGTTGCTTGGAAATTTAACCCGCGAGGCGCACCCCATCATGGCGGCTCCTGGGAGCGCCTTGCCCGAAGAGTGAAACGCGTGCTTCGCGATATACTATTCAAAAGGCGAGTTACTGAAGAGCAGTTAGGCACAACGCTCTGCTTAGTTGAGCAAGCTTTGAATTCGAGACCAAGCACTCCCATTAGTACCGATTCACATGAGTTACAAGCGATAACCCCAAATCACTTTTGAACAACATGCCAGGCTTTTACTTGCGGAGCACTTCGTCCACAAGAAAAGGTACGTGCGAGCGCAGTCATATGCTAACTCTATTTGGTCTCGTTGGCTTCGAGAATACGTTCCTCCACAGAATAAGCGTGTCAAGTGGCACACTCAGTCTGACTTCACTCTTAAGACAGACGATCTTGTAAAGGTGATTGAGCCCGATAGCACGCGTAGGTACTACCATCTCCCCGGAATCGTTAAGCTACATTATGTACAGGCCGGTTGCGCACGATCCGTACTTTTTAATACCAGCAAGCGTGAAATCACTCGGCCGACAGCTAAGCTCGCTCTGGTTCTTCCTTTTCCAGCGGCGGAGGATGTTGCAACGCAAATGTAAGCGAGAGTATAAATGCATATAAACCAAAATACAAGCTTGTGTATGGTTGGACCAAAATATAACTACACATAAGCACAGTTGGCCATGCGGCCAAGAGACAAGTGTCTCACGCCGTTCAACCGAGTTCTAGTCCCCCCTTTCGCAGACCTTAAAACATGTAGACCCGAAGGGCCATAGCCCCTTATGACCACTTGTAACTGTTTTTTTTTTGGTTATAATTTGGTTCAGACTTGATTTATGGCTGACCGTCATAAGGAGCAAATTGTCTCAAGGACATTACCGTTTTTTGTGATTACCTTGCGGCGAAAAAAAAACTATAATCGGAGCTGAATTTTGTTGAAATTATGAACTTGATTTTTGTGAGTTTTCTGGATTTTGGATTATTTACTGATTATATCGTGAGTGGTTTGTATTGCCAAAAATTCGAATAAAACTTTAATGTCTAACCAATATTTCCTAGTTGAGAGCACACGAGTTATATTTTACTAAAAGTTAACACAAACTTTGACATTTAACTAAAAAAAGTGCTGAGTTGTCAGTCAAAGTTTCTCTAAAAACTATCAAAAAATTTTAATTTTCCAAACTGAAACTTGCAAATTCTATGTTCCGTGACCGTATAAGAAGATGATTGAAGTCCAATTGCTGGATTTAGAAAAAAAAACATTTGATTTCTAATTCAAGTTCATAAGCCACAGCAAAACAATTATTCGATATTCACAATACTTCAATTGGTTACCGATTTCGGCCAAGCAATTGGATTTTTGCCCAGCTTTTTTGTTGAAGTTTTTAATCCTCAATATGCATGACGCCAGGATTTTGGATGTATTTGCTCCGATTTTGCATCAATCTGCCGGTACAATGGAGATAAACAAAAATGAAAAAAGCCAATTTTCCTTCATGGATCCATTTAAAATCAATTTATGAATTCATCAATTTTTATTTAATTTTACCCACCCTCCCCCCCACTTATATATATATATATATATATATTTAAAATTCTATTCATTGTTCGCTTTGCGCAACCAAAATAATTAAATAACACACGATAGCTGTTCTATTTGCAACTGTGCAAGGGAGCGTAAACCGAGTTTTCCTAGTCTCACATACTTTGATCGGCGTGTAACTAGAGAGGAAAATGTATGAGAGAACCTGCATAAATTTACTTAAGTTTTTAAGTCTTGTCAAGTCTTCCACATAAAAGCTTCTGAGTTTGACCAAATACCATCTCGGAACAAATCAAGTACCTCCAGCTCCAGCTGTAACTAAGTCAAAACTCACGTTTGTTTCAAAGCTTGCCTTTTAATTTTCACGAACTAGTTAAAGAAAAGTATAAATTGTCATTATGAGCTTGCTCTGATTGACTCTTCCAAGCTTTTAAGTTTTCTGAATGCTGATAAATACATTCAAATTGAGGTCGTCGTCAAAAAACACATCGAACTCGTTATCCTTATTTGTTCCCTTTGTATCGCACAACCTAGCCCAAACAATACCTACTCCATCTACAATCGGTGCATTCATTTCAGTGATTTGACGAATATTAATCCGAGGTCTCGGCGACAGATTCAAAATTTCGGTCATTACCAAGAAACTGCAAGTCTCGTCTTGGGTGCAATTTTGCTGCTTGATTTTGATTTGGAGCCGATCTGCTGATCCAGCTTTGTTTTTTTTCTCAACTACTCCCCCTATTTTGAAAATTCGATCGTAGAATTCAATAACTTCAGCGGCCCATAAAATTTCAGTGCTTTTAGATGGACGATTTTTAATACCTGATAATTGCACAACCAGGATTTTTTTTTTATTTTCTTCTTGAATTTCTTTGGTTTTTGGTGCTTCCATCTGTTTTTGAAATTTTTCAATTGTGGTTTGAATTTCTTTATTTTTAGTTTTGATGCTACTTGTTTGTGTTTCTTTAATTTTGATTTTAGGTTGAATATCTTTCGGTTTCGTCTTAAGAAAGCAGGACAAAAATAATTGAATGTCTTCATAGGGGCAATCGGATTCACCCGACGCAAATTGAGCAATGCATGTTACCTTCTCTTTCAAGATTTCGTTTGATTTCAGACACTCGTTCAGTCTGTCAAGTTGTGATTCGCGAGTTGTTTTTTGCTCAGATAGTGCCTCAATGTTAGACTGCATTTGAGTGTATGCAACCCAACCTGAAACAAAATTAAATTAACTTGATAGAATACCTTCGGATGTGGACAATTTTTTGAAGTTTTGAGCAAATTTTGAACAAAATTTGGATTGTTTTGGTATTTTGAACAAAGACTTTTGCAAAAAAAAACCATTTGCTCCAATACTAAGGTCTTGACTGAGTGTCAGATCGTGTTTTCGAGCCCTTGATATGGCAATGATAGTCTGTGAGGTTCAACTCTCACTTGAGTTCTAGCTTCTGGTCTACCACAACTTGGCCAATTTCGGCTGCAATAGTGGTTCCACGTGAAACTTCTTGACGCAAAAAACAGCCTTGAGTCGAAAAAAATTGAGTCTAGAAAGTGGTGAAATAATAGAAACGGAATATTATTAGAAAAGCTTGATAGAATTTCATAGATCCTTTGCGAATCGCATAACCTCAATTAGGAGGTGGTGTCTTCAAAACTTTTGAATAAAACTGGTAATTATTGGAAATGGAAACAAGATGATGGCGGGAAAATAACATTACGAAAACGAAAAAAAACTTATAGAAGAGCTAGACGAGAAATAATCAGAGGCAAACCAACATTTTAAAAAATTGATTGCGGTTTCTTCTTCAGACTTTATATATCCAATCAGCGAAAAAAAATTTTGTTCCACAAGAGAAAACAAAAAATTTTCAGCAAATGAAAATCTAACGTCATACGAAACAGTGTAGAAACTTTAATACCTTTTGCGTACTTGACTTTTTTAACGCTTATTGAAACAGATCCATTTAGATTGTTTTCAATTCTTGATAACATTTAAAAGCTACACTTAAAAATGATTTTGATGTGTTAAAGAGATTATTTAATATGTTTTATACAGCGTTGGCATTGATTCATATATGGTGCGACGAATGATAAATAAAAAACCATATATGGCGTGTGTATAGAAGCGCAAAACTTCTATGATGGGCTTTTTGGCTGGCTTGAATGGGTTGCTCTTGATCATTATTTTTGAGATAATGTCGGGTCTTATTTTCTCCAATTTTAGGCAGCTGGTGTCGTTATTTTTGAATAAGACTGGTAATTATTGGAAATCGAAACAAGATGATGGCGGGCAAATAACATTACGAAAACGAAAAAAAACTTATAGATGAGCCAGACGAGAAATAATCAGAGGCAAACCAACATTTTAAAAAATTGATTGCGGTTTCTTCTTCAGACTTTATATATCCAATCAGCGAAAAAAAATTTAGTTCCACGAGAGAAAACAAAAAACTTTCAGCAAATAAAAAATCTTACGTCATACGAAACAGTGTAAAAACTTTAATAGCTTTTGCGTACTTGACTTTTTTAACGCTTATTGAAACAGATCCATTTAGATTGTTTTCAATTCTTGATATCATTTAAAAGCTACACTTAAAAATGATTTTGTTGTGTTAAAGAGATCATTTAATATGTTTTATACAGATTTGGCATTGATTCATATATGGTGCGACGAATGATAAATAAAAACCATATATGGTGTGAGCATAGAAGCGCAAAACCTCTATGATGGGCTTTTTGGCTGACTACGTTCATTTTGTTGCTTGCAACCAAAGTTGAATGGGTTGCTCTTGATCATTGTTTCTGAGATAGAATCAGGTCTAATTTTCTCCAATTTCAGGCAGTTGGTCGCGGCATTTTTTCCTCTGTTTATCAAAAAGTTCTAGAAGTATGGCCTTCATTACAAAAATGGCCAAGAACTTTGGTTATAAACATTGTTAACAAATTAAAACAATTGTCAATAGCTAAAAATTAAACCGTAAAAAAAATTGGAACAGTTTACAATAAGAGTATTAGTAGCAACTCCAATTCATTTCCCGCCAGAAATAATCTGTTTTCGACTTTTGTAACCCGGGTTGAACAAAATGCTACTCATGCATTTTTCGGTACCGCAACAACTCGCAAGAAAAGACAACTCGTAAAAACTAAGGAAAACAACAAATTGCAAGTTTTTGAAGCTATTTGGAAGTTTAAGTTCTCGGTTTAAGATCGCCAGTGGGCGCACTACGCGCGCGTCGCTGTTTGGTGGCGATAACCGGCTCTAAATTTCGTATTGAGTTCTACCCTCTGTTGGCAAGCTTGCAACACGTTGGCGCGACTGCGGCGGCGAGTATATTTCGAGTTGCCTTTTAATGGAAAATTGCTAATAATACACTTTTGATGCAATTCCATACGTACAGAAAGTTGCTTGAAAAGTCTTTTTTGTGTATCCAGGACTACGTTGTGCGCACACAAAAAAAAATATTTTGCATGCAAAATTTTTTTTCGGAAAATGTTTTTTGAGTAAAAAATTTGATCGCGCCTGAAAAAAAAATTATGGGGCAATTTTAAAAACTTGTTTTCGCCGTGAAAAAAAAATGAAAAATGCTAGTCATGCTATTTCCATATATGGAAATTATATAATTAGCCTTTTTGACAATTTTGTTTTATTTTTTATTTAGTATGATACACCGACTTTTATGCCAAAACAAAAAAAGTTCTTTGAAAATTCGATGACACCATTTTAGCAAAAATTATGAAATTTTCTTGATTAGAATTTTTTGATAGACTTAGTTTATGGAATTGTATGATGAGCATTTTTGGTTTTTGGAGGATTTGGTTTTCTGCTGTTCCTCCATATGTTTCACTTTGTCTATGGAAAAAATTAATAACAAAAAAAACGGTGGCGGATAGTTTGACCATGCATTTTTCCTATGAAAACTTTTACGGATTCTTAGTTTTGACCATGAATCAATTTTTGTGGTGTTTTTTTTTGAAGTTCTTAGTTATATTAGCTAATTAGTACTAGCTATTTTTACTATTTTTTTGTTTTCATCCTTTCGAAGTGTATTCAAGTATAATTCAAGGTGTTTGTTGAGACCAAATTTCTAAACAATGCTTTAGAATGGGACTCGTACTTCTAAATGACTGTACAGATGCTTAGTAAAAGGAACTTTTAAACTGGGTACCGTAACTTTAGCATTAAAATAAAACAGCATACAAGCTTGAATTTTTGAAAATAAGCTCAATTTTATATTAACAAACCTGATTTCGCGATACTAATACTAACCAAAACGTTCGGGCTATCCATCTTATTATTATATATCCGAAATTCGGTTGTGAATGAACACAACAAGAGAATTTTCAGTTTTTTTTAATACAAGTGAAAATGATTAAATAGTCATACATCAGCCATTAAGCGACCCTGCAGAAATGTTCTTCAAGAACTACGATTCGAATGGTTCTTCCAGAACTACAAACTTAGCTACAAAAAGCACGCGATACTGCGTAAATAAAGCTAGCATTTTTTTCTACTATTTTATCAACATGCAGTTTCATAAAACCGCCTTTAAGTCATAGTTCATATTCAAAAAATACCTGAAGCAAGATAATTCTCCAGTCTCGACTCATAGTTCTCTCCCAGTTTGCTCTTCACTTGCGTCTGCAAATGTCTTTTGAAGTTTGAAACCGAATGACGGTCGTGCAGAGTCTCTAGGCATTCGTCGCAGATTCCAATTTTACAGTCTTTGCACCAATATGAAATATCATCACTACTCGAAGCGCAGCTAGTGTTTTGATGGACACATTTAGGTGGTTTGAAACACATGCGTTTTTGCTTTTCAAATTCTCTCACTTGTTCCTCCAGAATTCGTTTTTCTTCAGCTTGCTTTTCCAGAGTGTCTCTGATTCCATACAACGGCTTCAGATCTGATATCTGAACTTTATGATCCACCTCGCAAAGAGCACACCTCAAGATTGTCTTAGACTTTTTGAGCGTGTTTAAACATGACTTTGAAGGACCACAATACGAATGTCCGCAAGCCAAAACTCGAGGATCCGTAAGTTCGTGTAGACAAATCGGACAATCCATTCAAATTTGATTACTCGACAAGGTTTCTCTTTCCCGACTTCGGTAAGTTTGGTTTTAGCATCAAATAAGTGTTTTGTTTAAGCTTTGGTAAAGTGTGCTCAACAATATATGGCAATTGTTTTGCAGTAGATTTATAAAATCATATCAAATGAATCATAATTTGCGTCACCAGATTTGACTACATTTACATACAACCAAAAATGAACAAAAGGTACAGCCTCCTTCAGTCGTTTTAAGAAGTTATAACTTAACAACTAAACTACGAATATCAGTAAAATAATTCTCAAGAGACATGCAGCAAAAATTGAGCTAGCAAAACGAAATTGATCTTTTAAACGACAAATTCATCAGTTTATTTCAATTAGATACGACGTTTTTAACTACCAATGAGTGCCTTTCTAAATTAAATCACGGCTATTCACAATTTAAAAAAAAATAAGTGACTGTATTGGATCCAGTTTGAAATTAGTAATTTAAACTATATTTTATTTTACTTCGCACTAAAATATTCATAAGTAACCAATCATAATTCATAACTCTATCTTACTTTATATAATTGTAAACCTGAAACGCTAGTGGTTCAGAGGAGTAGGAATAAAGGTTGAAATCAGTAACTTTGTTCTCTCCTCCAACTTCCCAATATACAAGTGTATCTCTAGATCTATTGAGACTAGGAAATATAAAAGTAAGATTAGGATTGGTATTGAACTGACGAGTTGCGCAATCCTATCCGGTCGAAAATAGATAGCGTGACAAACATACGGTGTACCCTATCCAAACTTACTTTATGAAAAGGCCACACCTGAGCAAACTCATCTGGTGCAACCAACGAGTCTCGAGCAGACCTACTAATAACTTAGTTTTAACTTAGTTTAAGAAAATCAGAGAAAAAATTAGCTTATTTCCTCGTCTCAATAAGTCTAATAAAGCCGATCTATACCCAAAGGCGAATCTCTATCCCAAAACGACGAAAACCAATCATCTGCATCGCAAAGCGAAAACTAACGAAAACGACGACAGACAATTGACTAATAACCTATTTTGTGCAGTAAAACCTACTACTACTTTATTAGCTGCAACAAACTTAGCCGTAAATTTAAGCAAACATAGCCTTAAAAAAACTAAGTAATACTGAGTAATACTCTATTAACTTAAGAGTAATCAAACTACTAATTAGACCTGAGCCAAAAACAATCTTTGTATAAAATATTATCTACCTCAAACTTTACTAAAATTTTCTTTCATTTTTGTAAAATAAGTACCTAATAAACAAAAAAAAAAACAAAAAACAAAACTAATTTGAATGAAGTCAAAAATAATGACAAAACTAACTCTATAAAGTTCACAATTAATTGACTTCACAAATATTCAAATTTTCTGCTTAAGAAACTAACTTAACCTGAACAACAGTATCATCAAGACCTCTGCTTCAATTTTTCACCTTAAAAACCTTAATATTCATAAAATTACAAGATCATCAAGGCTTTTTCTTGGATGTTTAAACTTAAAGCCCTTAAAATCATTTAAGCAACCAGATCATCAAGGCTTCTCCTTTGATCTTTAAACTTGAAAACTTCATTCAAAATTTTAAAATTCAGGTCATCAAGTTTTTCCTTGGATCTCCTAAGTTTGAAACTTTCAAACTGATTCCAACCTTCTAATTAAGTGTCCAACGACCCAAGGTGTCGATTCATTTTCCATCTCTTTCAAACTACCCAGAATTGACTGACACATTTGTACCTTATAAAATCACCTTCAAATTCGGCTAAACAGTGAAGTGTTGCGATTCGATTACTCGTCCTTCATTTGATTCCTACATCTCTTTTGACCCAGGTTTAAAACAATCTTGAAATTAGTAAATCTAAAGTAAGATCTCACGGTCTACTTGTTTTTAAATTATATATGTTCCCTGCCAATCTATATAGTATTCTCTAACCCTCAATATCATATCAAGCCCCTTCAAAAAAGATTGAGATTATCTAAATGCAGAGAACGCCACACGTTTGAGAGCAGTACATATCATCTAAAAGAATTAATCTACTCTTTTGCCAAACTGTCTCTACACGACAAACATACCTTCCGAGGTTTTAAGAACCAGCCACGGGTTAATTAAGGACTAACATTTTAGGAAATTAAAAATGACACCTGGATTTTAATCAATCTTTCATTTTAACATCAATCTTTCATATTAAAAATTGTGTCAAAATCAAAAAAGGAATTAACAAACAATAATATTAAATTATCAACAATTGTGTCATTAAAAACTCACGGCACGACTTCGTTCTAACACCGCGTCAGGATTAGATTTTCTTAAGTCGAAAAAACACCTCGGAAAAAATTCGTTCCTTTTTCAAACTAAAACAAATTCCAGCATACCGTCTTTCTAGATAACGCAATCCTCTATCAGAATCACACAATACATCCCTGCGTAAATTCCAGCTTCTCCAAAATCCAGTCAAACCACAACAGACACAAAGATTAGAGAAAAGACGTTTCTCTGACACCGAAGCAACAAAAACGTAATCTCTAAAAAGTAGAAGAAGAAGAAAAAGCACCTACAATAAAAAACAGTTCAAACATATAATTACTGTTAATCCATGAAACACATTGAATATTATAAACTATCAGTATATCGTTTCAAAAAAAATGATTCAAAAGTACGACGGAATTTTTCAGGATGATTCTATTCTTTAATTTGTCTCAAATCCACATAGGGATCAAATCAAATTATTTTGTTTAGGCTATTGTCCTTGCGAACGTGAATTTTCAGGTGTAAAGATGAAAAAGCAATACCTGACCACTCCCTATTTAAATAGTACAACATTACTTCAGGCTATGGAATATTCACATTTAAAATCCTAAAACCGAATCTAAATGATTGTACTCTATTAAATAAAGTAGAAACAGATGACAGAGAGATAGTATTTCAAAAGTTCTTACAAAATAAACTGAATATACTCAACAAAAAAGTCAAAAGGGGCAAACTCAATTTTTGCGATTGATGTTTTTGCAATATGTTTTTGTTACATTTCTATCCTAGATTCGAAAGGAACGTTTTGTTATCACCACCACAAACAACAAGAGATTCAAATGAGAGAAAGGAAATGAAAATATTTTAAAAATTTTTGGATACAGTCCGAAAAACCTTCAATCACACTGACATACCTGCTATAGTAAAACTTGATCGAAAAAAAGTTTCAGCATGGTTCATAATTGAATTCTTTGAACATAATATAGATCCCAAAGAACAGACTAAAAACAATTTTGCTCAAGCCGTGATATTGAAACAATCCTAGCAGATCAACCAGATTATATTTGGATCACTGGTTGATATCATCTTTTTTTATTGATATACTAAACGCAGTTTCAAGTACTGCAATTTAATCATTTTCATTTCATGAAGATTATTTGCAAATCATCGCATTAATCACAGAAAGCCTACCACTAAACTATAATATACAATTTCAAAAATACCAGGTTAAACTCAACATTCAAACAAGTGACAATGTAAAACGGGACAGCCAGTCAGATTGAACAAGCTTTTCAAACTCACTCACATTTTACAAAGAAGTTGTTACAGCAATACCAGTAACAAAAGAACAAAGTATCTCATTATTGCAGCCCTCAATTACAAACTAATAAAAATAGTATACCGCTGCATCAATTAAATTTTCTGTCAACATGAATTTTTTTGCAAACAAAAATGTTAAAAATCCCTTAGCAAATCAAGCACAAACAAAAACTTCACAGTCCCTATATCATGCTCATTATCAACAACAAACTAAAAACACAAACGCACAATTAGCTAGCGTTCACGATCATAAGAACTTTCAAATACATCAATCTAAAAAATATCCTTTTTTCTTGCAAAACAAACAAAATGGATAAAAGGATCAAAAACATTTGTCAGAAAAAGAAAAAAAATTTCGTAAAAATCAATAACCACGACATAACTTTACCCAAATGAAAAATCAATGGGACGACGAAGAACGACCAGATATTTTTGAACCATATTCAAACCCGCAAAACCCGGAACAAAAAAAACTAAACCTCCAATAAAAGCAATTTTTTCTTTATCAAACTAAATATACCCAACAAAGCCCAATAAATACTCAAACCTGACAACCTGAAGCAAAGAAAAACAAAACTTGGTTACCCTATTACTTAAAACAACATGAAGTCAGTGGGCATCAGCTAACATATTTTCCTCAAACACCAAATACATCATAATCACTAAAAATGAAATTGAATTCATACCTCAAGGGTTTATTACCCATTACATCAAATAAACCCGAACTGTTTTTACCTGAGAAGACACAGGAAGAGATAGTATTGAGATTACTTAAGCGCAGTAGCAGCAAACCTTATACTAAATATGGGCACACAACCTACCAAAACACTTTTCCAAAACTGTATTTGTAGACGTACAGGTTTGATACAAACAAAACTTGACGGAGCAGCCCGTTTTTAGTTCGATCAGTCAAAAAATCCTGATAGGAATTGTTATACACAAAAATTTTCAAAAATCTTTGATGTCGGAAAAAATAAACAACATCAGAGAGTTTTATGTAAGGAAATCCGCAGATTATCAAAAAAACGAAAAAACCAAAAATTTTTAAAAATAGAAAAGGTGGTACAAAAAACATAGTATTTAAATACAAACTATTACAAAAACACAAAAATGGCAGGAATTTTAACAGCTCAATAACGGAAAACAGTAATCATGGAAAGAGCATTACAACCTTTATTATTTCGCCAAACAGATATATTTTTTGAAACTTTCTTTCACATACTAGAACAAGCGGAAATTAAAATGAAAATAGAAGGAGCAAAAAGTTGAAACGACAATGTGTTTCAAAGATTCAAACAAAACATATCAAGCAAACCAGTAGAACAATTCCACAAATAATTAAAATACACAACAGAAACACAAACTATCAAGGAGAATCCTCAATCCTAATTTGGTGTTTTTTTGTGAGCGATTCATGAAACAGCATCATCGAATGTCGACTAAACAACAAGATAAATCAAACCGACTACCAATACACGAAGAATCAAATAAATCTTTTTTTTACCTTTAGATGACAAAATAAACACCAAATTTTACAAAAGTAGCTGATCCAGGAGAATTCTCAGACATCTTTTCATAAGACTACGGTGGATGTTTTGAGGAAATCAAAATTATGTATATCTCAATGGAGAAACGATTATACCTC